GCCAGTGGAAAAGAAAGTTGTAACATGGTCCCTTTATATATATAAATATATATATATATATATATTCCTCCATATTTTCCGCAATGACGCACCGTCCGCTACGTTGCGCGGATGTGATTTATGAACGTGTGACGTGTGAGCGAGTGAATCGACGAAATAGGTTGGAAGATTGAAATCAACGAGCGCAAATGAAATGAGTTGGGATTTCTTCTTCGTTTCAATCGATACTAGTGCTTGCTAGTCTTGATAGCAAAGCTAGTAGTAACGAGTAATGTACTAGCATCCGGACTATATAGTACTACTGCTACTATTCAGACATCCCAGATCCTATCCTCCCGTCTTTCTTATTCGAACCGATATTGGCGTGGGCGCATGTTTTTAAGTTACCCGCCCGCCAAGGAAATAATAGCCGCGGATCCGCGCTTAAGGAACCTCTACCTTTATTGCCATTTTTTAGTATACAAAGAAGCTAATTCCTTGCAATGCGAATTTTTGTTGAGTGGGGATTCACTTTGAGGGTTTCCAGCGCATAGTATGAATACTACTATATATAACGTAATCGATAAGCGAGCGAGCCACATAAGCAAGCGAGCCACTTCCCACCTGCCATACAACAAGAATGCTCTTCAAGTCCTGAATACAACCCAAAATTAACAAACTGATATTATCAATTATTTCCTGTACGCTTAGAGCATGTACGGGCAGTATGCCCAATAATCCCACATACACTACACTGTGGTGCTGCACGTCTTCGTGGTTGGGACTCAGCAGCCTCAACCACCCCTCTTTCCCATTCATTGATGCTTCGTACGCGATCCAAGCCTTCTTCCACCCCCAAAGCTCCCTCTTGGGCTACATATGTACGGCCTCTTTCTCGCTTTCTCTTTTGTTTAGCATTTGTAGCCCTTAACTACCTATTTTCAGCTGCTAGAATAGCAGCACTATGCATTGCCATTTGACATCCCTTGACCAGCTGATTTAGGGCACGATCAGTTGGGCTGGGTGGGCTCTGCGTACGGTGCTTAATATATCCTTTAACTTTCTTAGTCTGCTGCTCTAGCTGGTGTATATTATGTGGTGTAGCAGTGGCCCAGGAGGCCTGAGAGCTATGAGAGGTCCCAGGTGGGGTGGGGGTATGCATTGTGGTATTAAGGCGCGAGAGAACCTGCTCAGGATTGTATGGAACCAGCCCAGCTGCCCTGAAACTGCTCTTGATGTTGTTCTCAGTCAGAGCCTGCATCTGAGCTGCAGGATATAGGGCCAGAAACTCCTCCTTGTCAATATGATTGATCCCAAGCCGCATCTGATTCTCCACCTGTCGTCCATATGCAGTCTTCAAGGGGGAGAAGCACCCAATATCCAGTGGCTGAAGAAGATGAGAGGAATGTGGTGGCATGTAGAGAGCAATGATCTGATTCTCAGAGCAGAATTGATCAAATTCAGCTGAGGCATGGCTTCGGTGCCAGTCTAGAATCAGCAGTCGGTATCTGCCCTTTGTACGGGGTAGAGTCTCCTTGTTGAACACCTCTTTCAGCCAGTACAAGCCCAGCTGGTCAGTGGTCCAGCCATTCTCACTGACTCCAATCACCCAGTCATGCGGCAGCCCTTCAGTCTCATACCAAGAGGACTGATGCATCTTTCCCTTGAGGATAATCATTGTACGGAGAGCCCAGCCCATTGCATTGACCCCAGCAATAATAGTCACCCATTCCCGATCTCCAGGCTGTACAAGCTTGGGATTCCTAGCTCTTTCAGATCCAGTCACCACTCTGACAGTCCCAATAACCCCCATCTGAAAGCCTGTCTCATCAAAGTTGTAGATATCCTCTTCCAGAATCCCATACTTTGCAATGGTGTTTTGTACAAGCTTAAACCACCCACGGATAACCTCAGGATCCTCACATAGTGCACGTTGATGGTCGTACTTGCGGGAGAACTTGGATTTCAGCTCTTCATAGCGATTGACAAAGTTTCGTACCCAGCATTCACCCACTGTGGGTGAGGGGTTGATTCCTCGACTGGCAAGAAGGAGATTGGCCATTTCTCGTACAGCTGCAACCCGGGGTGGCTGACCTCGCTCATCCATGGCTAGAATCCATTGAACAAGTGATTCTTCTTCTGTAAGGCTAAGTTTTCGGTTCTTTGGGGGAATGTCCACGCGTGCTGTACGACCAGAGACACGGTGAGTGAGGGTTGAGCGAGGGACATCATACAGCTTTGCTGCAGCTCGTATGCTTGAAATTTGATCATTTTTAAGTGCTTGAATGGCTAAAAGAAGCCTTCCTTCTTGAGCAGAGACTTTATTTCTTTGAGTGGTTGACATTTTTGTTGAAAAGCATTCTTGTTGTATGGCAGGTGGGAAGTGGCTCGCTTGCTTATGTGGCTCGCTCGCTTATCGATTACGTTATGTATATGTAAAAATAAAGACCCTAATACTGAATAAAATCAAAATAGCAAGAGGGATGAATTGATCGTGTTTTCAACCCCCCAGTGAATCAGCGTTTTAAAAATCAAGTAGGTTGTTGTAATAAGAATCACTGTTTGAGTAGTAGTAGTAGTAGTAGTAGTAGTAGTAGTAGTA